GGATTATGGACGTCCGGATTAAAGACTTTGTACTGTATTAAATATTTTACTCTATAATAGATGAACATATTCGAAAGAAGATAAGTATTATGCACATGCATAGATGCATATGTGTATGCATAAAGGCATTATGCGTTTACGCATGCGAAAAAATTTTGTAGCTTTGAGATCCAGATTATAGATCATTCACGATTATGGATGTCCGGATTACAGACTTTGTACTGTATTACATTTTTAAACATTTGATCATCAAAAATAATTTCAATCTGGTTAATACTGATACTTTTATTACAGACAGAACTTTCATACTTTTCATTATCACAGATCAGACTTTTCCAGCCATCAGTTAGTATTTACAGACTTTAATAAAGAGATATATTGTATCAAAAATCAGGAGTTTTGTTCCTTAAAATTCATATATTTTTCAGCAGCATCTGAGAAATTCCTTAGGGGATGATGCACAGATTTGGAAAATGTATAATCAGTGTATATATATAGATAAAATCAGAAGTTCAATGTTTATGCAATTCACAGCTTGGTAACTTTAAACTATAGGAAAATATTTTTTATACCAGAGATTCCCAACCTTTTCTCTTCATTGACCCCTTTTAAAAGGATGGTTTTCTGCATCGGTCGCATAACCTTTTTCTTAATAATATACAGCACACAGCATAATCATAATACAAATAATTGGACAAAAACAACTTAAAGATAACCAAACTAAGAATATGAACAAAAGCTTTAAAAAAATTAAAAGAAAAAATGTTTATTAGATTTATGTTTTACCACTTTTGTGTTATTGTTATATTTAACTTATGTATATAAACAAATTTTCAGAAACAGAATCACAGATTCCAATTGCACCAAAGTTCGATTTTAATGAATGGAATGGCAGGCTTGAGGTATTGATGAATTTTTTTTTAATATTTGGCATAAAATTGCTTAACTTAATTCTTAAATAACTGTTTAAAAAATATACCCTCCCCCCCATTTCTTGTTTTCCATTGTAAATTATTAATTTGACTACAGCTTGCTATCACTGATGAGAAGAAAGGGAATTCAATAATGTTGGTTCTGTAACAACTTTATTTAAGATCAGGGTTCACACACATTTCTGCACATGAAAATTAAGTACTTTTAAGGACCATTAATGAAAAAATTAAGGACCTATAAGCAAATGAGAACTGAATAAATTCAATTAAAAATATTATTTATGCCTGAAATTCACTTTTGTAATACCATTCTAAAAATAAAATAGATCCCTAAGTAGGATGCATTATTATTATACATTAATTAATTAACATTATTATTAATATGCTTGGGAATAAAATAAACTTTATGCAATTTATCAAGTAGTACAGTACAAAGTCTTTAATCCGGACTCACCAGGAATTCAGCAATTCCAGATTAGGGGTTTTTCCGGTTTCTGGATCATCAATTTAAATCTGGTAAGATAGCATGCAGGAATTATAAAATTAAAAATATGAAACCGTAATTTATGAAATAAAAAGGAATTATCATCTAAAGAGTATCAAAATTTTACCCCCCCCCCCAAAAAAAAAGCTTAATATTTATTTGTTTACTTTATTAAACATTTCTATCAATGTAAGTTGTTTGAGTTGCTTCGTTTTATGTGATAATACTTTCTCTTTAATTCTATAAACAGACATAATTTCTTGTTCAGTTACAAAGTTCCGCTATTCAAGTCCTATAATTGCTGTGCCGAAAATACCGACTGACTTGTCAATCGAAATTTTTTTGTTTTCACTAACCTCTCTGTGACTTTCTTCATGCCTTTATCCATTTTTTTGCAACAATTCTACTTTTTGTTTGATAGACATTGAAACATGCTTTCGCTTTGTAGATCCTTTGGCAGCTCCAAAATCGGAAACTCTTTTTGACATAATCGAAAAGTCAAGCTTACTTTTTATAAAATTGCTCTAACAGTCTGCAAAAAATAATAAACTGGATCCAATTAGAAGATTAAGGAACAACGCAATCTGCAACATTAACTGAGATAGATAATTAGATCATTTTAGCTTAGCTTATACCGTTCGTTATACATTAAACGTGCATGCGTAAACGTATTATGTGCATGCGTAAAGGTATTATGCACATGCGTAATTGCTGCGCATGCGTAGAAAGTTTGTAGCTTTGAGGTTCGGATTATGGACATCCGGATTAAAGACTTTGTACTGTATTAAATATTTTACTCTATAATAGATGAACATATTCGAAAGAAGATAAGTGACATCTACGTTTTACTAACAGCTTTATGTTAAATTTTTTTAATGTCTCATTTTGTCACATACTTGTTCAGTCTAGAGGTTTGGTAAATAGCAGGTAGATTTTGTTAAGCGGTCAAGGTTAAAATGAGAAGTAAGATCATTATCAGTATGATTCATAACCAAAAGACTGAATGTTGTCACCGCTGCTGCTTGTCTAGAGAGAAACCTGCTGATTAGAACAATTCTGAAAGGCCTGATGTAGGCACATTTGGCAAGTTTTGAAAGTTAGTTGGGCTTTGTTTGATGCAGTTAGTGCTGCAGCATCGTGTAGAGTTCCAGGAGTTGTAACCCAGTTAATATACTACTTTAAGGTTTCAATAAGCCACTAAAGCACCAGAGGTGATAAGTTCTTTTGCATTATTTTAAGTCTCACTAGATGCAAAGAATAAGTTTTACTTGAATTTTTTGCATTTTATCTTGTGACCACTGTGAGGATTAATAAAAGGCAATAACTAACTTTAATATGCAGCGATAATTTTTAAGGGTAAGCAGTTGGTTTAAATGATTAAATTAGGTAATTGGATAACCTTCTTCATTACGGATTTACATGATCAATATTAAATTTTATTTCTTTTATAATTAGCCATATTAAAATCAAAATCTAATAAAATTTCACAGTTTAAAATATATGTAAATTATGACATTCATTCTTAAGCAATATTAGGATAGTTACACATTAAAAGCTACAAAACATTAAACATTTATGTCTTGTAACAACAACACTCAACAAAATATTTATGCATGATTTTAATTTGAAGCCTTCCCAGACATTTTGGCTTTTTTTTATCGATTTCCTTCTCTTTAAGCATCTTTTCTAACGATCAGAAATTTGTCTCAGTACACAAACCAATGTTCTGACTAGTTTCATGCTTTATCTGCTAACTTGTCAACCTCTCCACAATATACCTATGAGGGTTTATTTAATCTGGTAAAAGTTAAATAGTTCCAACCCCCCGACAGATGTGAAGTAAATTATTGCTATGTCTGAAAGTAACTAGAATATCAGACAAAGGTTTAAATAAGCCTCTTATTTAAAAAGAATTTAGAACATTAAAGCATGTTTTGATGCTAACAAAATCAATTACAGCTCATGGTGACGTTATTAAATAAGAACAGTCAAATTCAAACTAAAAATGTGGACTAGTGGTCAGAGGTTATATAATTTAATTTTTAATTTAAGCTGGCTCAGTAACTCTATCATATGAGGAAATAGAAATGGGAAATTATAGTAAAGACTAGAAATCATAAACAACTGGGTAATTTATATAATAACTGTACATATCATTGAAAAATAATTTTCTTCATGTATTCAGTTTCTTTCTTCAACAGGTTTCCTTTTCATTTTAGAATTTTTGGATTTAATTAAGGATTTCTGTTATTCTAAAATAAAATTTAAAAAAAAAAGAGCCTTTAGAATGTATAGAAAAAGAGGCTAATTTTATTTCTTTAGTACTAATATGAACATTCAGAACAGAAGAAATATGAAATATTTCCAGTAAGGGCCAGTTACAGAGTTGGTGTGGCAGAATATTTAGAATTTAGTGACACACCGAGCAACAAAATCTAGAAATGGCAAAACTTTTAGAATTTAGAGCACGCATTAGAAGCAGAATTTAGAAAGGCAGTAGGCAGGAGAAAGGACGCACAGAGATTGCATCAGGAGGGAAAGTGCCAGCTGGGTGTATGATGCATACGGACATATTAGATGAATCTTTTAAATTGTCAGTTTTCAATTTTTTTATTAAGAAAATTCCTTTCTATAATGCCTGCCCATGTGGTAAGATTATAAGCATTTTTTATCTTTCCCATACTTGTGGCAAGTGAAAAGTAGAGAAAATAAAGGGAAGATAAATATGTTAAGCAAAAGATTCTAGTATCAGAAGTAAAATATTCAAATATTATGTTTCCATTGTTCTTCCAGATGTTCTCAAAGTAAGAAATTCATCTCAAACTTTCTGTAAAATACACCCATTACGTGTTAATACCACAGAGACATTTTTTGTCACATATCTCTGGAATCTTCTATAATCGTGGGTCTATAAATCTTGCCTTCAAATTCTTTTAAACTTTCCAAGCTGCAATGTCTAAAATTCTAAATAAAAAAGAAAAATTATCCCTACCAATTCTGTAACAGCAAAAAGCCAGAAATATTTTGGAAAAAAAAGGAGGGGAAGTCGCCAAATTTATAACTGTTTAATAAAAGAATTCACATCCCCAAAAGCGACTCTTTATTAGAAAAAATGAATTCTGAAATGCTTATGTTTCACTTCTTGCTTAGAAACTCCAATACCCCACCATTTATATTAGAAATAGGAACAAATTATAACCCATGAACCCATTCAAAATATAACCATATATGTCAGTGAATCGCCAAATATATTCCTCCAAAACGATAATTCACACTCAAAATGGCAGTCGTAAAAACAGACAGATATTTTAGATGATTAAAATTAAGGACTTTCTACCGATTTTAGCCAAAATTAAGAACTTTTAAGGACAAAAAGAATTCATTAATAATAATGGCAATTATATTATTTAATAAAGATTATAGACTGTCAGGAAAATTTGTATTTTGTTTTATTCCAAAAAATGGACAGAACTTCCTGGTAGATCGAATATATGTTTTTAATAGTGGTAACAAATTTACATTCCTATAAATAGCTGTTTATAGTAGTAATACCTAATAAATGAGATATGCAAGATAAAACTTACCAAAAAACCCTTCTTCATCTTGATATGTTTTCTTAACTGTTTTCAAAATTCGACTTTTGCCTTTGTGTATAACAGGAGGAGTAGGAGGAATTGGATCTTCACTATCCTCACTCTCTTCCATGATTGCTATGGTAGGATCTTCAGGTATATGGATGCTTCTTAAAGCTTTATCTTGTGCTTCTACACAGAAAGAAAGTAGATATTAACAGCTTCTACCAACAGTATAACTAGAACTTTTAGACTTTCATTTAAAAAAAAAATACTTTAAGAGATTAAAATTTTGGAAGGTTAAGCAAAGATTTACTAAAAGGTTACAACTCGTTTTTCTTATTTTTCAAACATGATTTACACACTATTAAGAACTTTTCTCAAATTAATTTTTTATTTGCCTCAAATGCACTTGAAATCTTTTTTCCCCCTTTTTGACAAATAATTCAATTTTTAAAAAAATAATAGAGAGAAAAAACAGTTTTTAAACATTGAAATAATAGGACCAGTCATTATTGATATAAAAAGTTGACTAATACAGTCAACATTCAATATGATGTACAATCATTACAGCAAACGTTGAGTGCACAATTAACACATGACAACGGTCTATTGCAACTGGTGCAAAATGTCTTAATTTTCCCACTAATGCTATATTACATGTGGGTTTCTATGCACGATGTTTGGGTACGTGGCGTTAAATAACATTATTCATGGTTAAGTAGTTCTCAGTATTAGTAAATGATAATGATGTCCTACAAATAAAATTTAATGTATATGTATGCTATAAACATTTCTGTAGCACTTATAAGGGGAGATTTGATGGCAGTATGTTCCCCACTCACTGCTTTTGATATATTTTTTATTTCTTGATTTTGGGAATATGAACTATTTATTTCATTTTATTTATTTGTTTTCATTATTTTACCTTTCCCCCTTTCATTTTTAATGAAAAATAACAGAATGTTTTTAAAATGCAAACTTGTCTTTCCCCTCAAAAGCATATTTTTGTAGACCACCTCTTTTGGGCAAGTGTTATTTTCTTTCGGTTATTTTATTATTTTTGATTTTATGCTTCCCCCTTTTTTAAGGAAGTTTGCTTAAAGATGATATGAGAATGTATCGATCAAGAAGAAAGTTAAGGTTTGAAAAAAAAAAAAAAAAGTATGTTGTCTGTTGAAACAAGTTTTTAGGACAACAATCAAAAAATAAAGAAAGTGTAATAGGTAGCTGATTTCATCCCTGAATTACATGACAAAATGAGCTTTACAGTTTAGAAAAAGTTTCATAAGATGAGACACATTTTTATAAAGCCCAAATGTTATTATAAAGGATCTTTCCCATCATTCCTTTCTTGGACCTTTAGAATTAAATTCTGGCTGAAGTTTTACATACTGTGCTGCAAAATAAATAGTATAAAATATTAAATATTTCAGTTCTTAAAAGCAGTATTATTTTCCTGAGATGTTTCAGTTTTAGCAATGGGAATAATGAAATAATTTTACTTACATTGATAAATAAAGTAATTAAACTTTAAAATAGAAGATAATCATTTAGCATAACAAACTATTATATTTTACGATTTTTTTTACATCAGCCTAAGCAACAAGATATCTCTGCCTTCTAGAGTAAAATTGTGTAATACAATCTCCATGTTTATAAGCAAAGGATTAAATTACTAAAATCAAATTTTAAAAAAAAATCATGAAAACAAAACTTCTGGTGAAAAAGGTAAAATTTATTCCATAATTTTGTCAATATCAAATATTAGAAAATAATAAACAATATCAATAAGCATTTCTGTGCTATAAATTATGCTTAAGAGGAAAACTCCAAACTAAGCATTGTAAAAATAAAACACTGATATTTGCTGTACTTTCCAAAAACAAATAGTTCTATTACTGAAGCATTTGCTCAATATTAATCTTATCACACAAAAATGGATAATATATTACCTTCAGATTCACTATCAGATTCTGATTCTTCAAATGTGCAAATACGACGATGCTTTTTTGCCTTTGGTTGAAACTCATCTTCTGTCAAAATTAAACAGAAATGAAATACATATTATGCAAATTAATATTATGACAACAACAAGCCTTTGCATATTCTAAAATACATAAATAAATAAATAAAAAAGAAAAAAATATAAAAAGAAAAAAAAGAAAAAGAAAAAGAAAATACCTGATTTACTGTCTTTCTTCTGTTTTGAAAACTTATTTGATTTCCTAAAGACACAAATGTAACCTTCATTAATAAACATGATTTTATGTACGTACATATGCATGCATGCATGTGCACACACACATTATATTTAATTAACACTGAAAGGATTACACAGGGAATTTTCATAAATTAAGAAAATTTAGTTTTCGGATTTGAAATAAAAAATTACGAATCTTTAAAACTCAAAATAAAAAATTCAGTATGAAAAATATTTTAAAAGGGGGGTATGAGTCACAAGAAATATGAAGAAACATTATTGACTAAAATTAAGAAAATTTCAATCGAATGCTTTGTAAAATACAAAATATTCTGTTAGTATTTCATCAAATCATATTTCAGTGCTCTTTCTCTGAAAAAAAATGCTTTAATATTAAAATCATCAGAAATATTTCTGATTTAGAATCACAAGCGATGACTATTCTAAAGAAACTTCATATTAATTATTTATAAAAATATGAAAACATTTCAGTGTGATCTCTTAAGCAGAAAATTAATATATAAGAAAAATTACATAATAATTAATTTAAAAATTAGAAATATGTATAAACTGATGTATACGGTATACATATAAATGTGTGTCTAAATTACAAATACATATTTAATTATTTAAAAAATTTTATTAACTTTTCAAAGTAAGGTCACTCTTTATGGGTAAAAGGTGATATTATGTAAGTCTACAGCCTTTGTGGAAGACTTTCTAAGGGAAACTGACTCACATTCACATTTAAACATGAGCAAAGTCACAAAATGCCCATGAAGCCAGCTCATTCACTAAAACTGAATCCAGGTCAAACTATCAGTGTTCCATGACTTTACCACTCGCTTGGTGTGTCTGCTTCCTGAGAGAACAGAGCTATAAATATACTTCCCTAATTCTAAACACCAAAATATGTTTAATTACTTTTTATAATTTTAAATGTAAATTTATGAGCTACAAAATAAATTAAATAAGAGATGAAATTTTTTGTCTTCAGAATTCAGATTAATGTTCAAAAGGCAGTGTTTATTATTTTTACCACCTACAACTAGCACAAATGCCACAATTGACGAATCAACTCTCATGCCTTTCAAATAATGCAACATTGGTCAAATTACTACTTGACATAAGGGTTTGGAGTTTAAAAAAGGATTACTCTGAAATATTTCATACGCAATATTACTGGCACAGCTGCTAATTATCCCAAGGCCATAGAATGTTTGAAGGCTTGTTTTGGTCAAAATGGCTTGCAAGTGGAAATTCATGCGAGAGAATTGTTGAAATTGGTCATGAGAAATGCAAATTCTAGTAATTCCTGTAATAATTTATGTGCATTATATGATAATTTGGAACAACAAATTTGGGCTCTGGAAACCCTTGGCATCACTACAAATAAAAGTGCTGCACTACTTTATCCTTTGGTTGAATCTTGCTTGCCTGAGCATTTTTTAAGTGCCTATCAAAGAAGTGCAAATGTTGACCATGGTCCAGACCCAAACTGTAGACTGGACATTTATTAAAATTCCTGAAATCAGAAGTAGAATCCGAAAAACGCATAAGTTTAGCTATGGCTGGTTTTGGTTTGAAGAACGAAGTAACCTGCGGGATTAAATCTATTAAAACTGTTCATGAACGATCATCAACAACAGCAAGTTTGTTGAGTGCTGATTCTCCTACTAAGAAGTGTATGTTTTGCAGCAGAAAACATGATTTATTTAATTGTTTTAAGGCTCAAAAAATGCCATTTTCAGAAAGATGAAGGGCACTGCTTTCGCTGTTTAAAGGCTGGTCACTGTGCAAATAAATGCAGGAGTTCTATTAAATAATTAAGCAATAAAATTCACAGCATATTTATGTATTTAGAATTGCTTAAAAATAAAACTATGTTAAACAGCAATGAAAAGGAAACTAGCTAGGAAGAAAGTTCTGTGAATCTTTCTACCGTTAGCAACACATCACAAGTACTTTTGCAAAACCTAAAAGTAAAATTAATTGGAAATAATTGTACACTTTTTATGACACAGGATCACAAAAATCGCATTTAAGGAAGGGTTTAATTGCTACTCTAGGCCTTATACATTCTAGACTACAGATTTTTGAGCCATGCCCTGTTTGGAGAAAAACTAACATCTGAAAATTTACATAATGTCTACAAAATTAAGCAAAAGAGTTTAGACGATAATTTTACTTGTACTTTTGATATTTATGAACAAGATACAATTTGTGATCCTGTACCTTCTGCCTTAAATGGATCATGGGTTAAAGAGCTCCAGTCCATGAATATACCATTTTATGACACTGAAGATTCATCAGGGCCTATTGTTCTTTTAATTGGTGCAGATATGGCTGGTCGACATTTCACAGACAGAAAAAGAGTACTTTTTAGTGGCATTGTAGCCATAGAAACTTACCTGGGCTGGACACTAATTGGTTAAAGCACCAATGAATGCCTGAAAGGGAAGATACGGCGATGACGACTGTAACAATATATGCGAATGCTACCAATATTTCTGACCTTTTTTTTCATTAGACATCTTAAGAATATCCGATCCAGTCGAAGTAAAATCATGAAAGGAAAAGAAATTTCTAAAAAAGAAATATTTTCAGGAAACTCTATGAATTAAATATGATGAGCGGTACGAAGTTGACTTACCATGGAAAGATGATCATTTGCCTTTCCCCATCAACAAAAATATAGAGATAAGAAGACTTGAAGTTTCAACAAAAAGGCTGAATTCAGAAAAATTATTTGATACTTTAAACTTTAAACAATGGACAGAATTTGGAATAATAGATGATGTCACAGATGGCACATTCACACCTTTTTGGGATCCAGAATCCAGCTGATTTGCCTTCTCGAGGATGTTCTGCTAGATAACTGTTATCAAGCAAATGGTGGGAGGGACCCACTTGGCTATTAGAATCATCATCTAACTAACACGTCACAGAACAAAATTTTGATGAGCATTCTATAGCTAAGGAAAAGAGAAAAACAAAATCTGATGGGTATTCTTCTATCTGTTCTCTAAGTTACTCAAATACTTGTAGCTACAAAGCTGATGAAAAGAAAAATAATGGATGCAGAATTTACGGATCAAGTTGGTACAATTATTATTTTTCAAGCTATGACAAAGTGATACGGTTGATTGTTTGGATAAAAAGATTTTTTTTTAATTGTCTAAATGTCTTTGCGAATTTTTGACGAGTTTTCTTTGGTTAAAAGGACAAAACATAAAGTCAGAAAAAAGAAATTGGGACCCTCATCCAAATATAGTTGAAATGTATTTTGCTTTTGCTGATCAAACACCTTTGCTTCCTGGTGCCTTCACACACTATCTACATGCCCTTCCTATTAATCTGAGTGATGGATGTGGTAGAAATATGACTCTGTTTCTTGTTATGAAGAGATACAGTTGCAATTTAAAAGAATATTTGAAAAGAATGGGTGTTTCTGGTCACACAGCTTTGCTACTGTTTACTCAGCTTTTAGAAGTTTTAGTTCACTTGCAATAACTGACTTTGAATGCTGTCTTGAAGGCCTCTAATTGGTTTACAATTCATATAATTCAGAGGAAGGTGGAAATATAGCATCAAAAGCACTACCAGTAATACAGAAATTGGTCAGAAGTATTCTGCATAAAAACCAGGAGTGGAAGAGAAGTCAGGACTATCCAAAGACTAGACATATTGACTTATGAATATATGGACTTTAATTTCGTTCTTTTATGTTTTTCCATTTAATTTTAAGTTTCCTTTAACATTTCTAGTAGGTTAAGTTGTTTTCCAACAACTTAAGATGGGAGGATCATCCGTTTAGAAGAAACGCATGTACAATATTATGTTCGTTTACGTGTCAAAAAACTATTATGCTACCAGCGTATCACAGACTCTTAAAAGACTAGTAAAAATACTCTAAAGTATTCATTTATTAACTTAAGTAAAACATTACTCATGTAAAAAACATGTCATTCTTCTTTAATAAGCCTAACTTAACTACAAAAACATATTTTCCTAATTCTATAAATTGTTTTGTTGCCACTTCTAAGAAATTAAACTAACAATAATTATTAGTGGCCAAACGGCATTAAATAAAAAATTAAAGGAAAGTAAGTAAAGTTAAATTGAAGCACGTATAAAATAAAAACTACATTCATTTGAAATCCAACAACATGTGCGGATTTCTTTAAAGTGTACGAAGACTTTTGTGAGGTAGCTTTTCTGCTACTTTTTTATTATTGATTTTCCAAAAAAAAAAAGTTTTAATATGTTCATAAAATAATTAATGCAATTTTGCTGAGAGAAATTTATAGATATTATTAAAAAATTTTCACTCTAAAATATTAATTTTTATCAATGAAAAAGCAATATTTCACTGAAACTTGTAAGTGTACGAAAGCTTTTGTGAGCCACTGCAGCTGCTAACTGATCCAGTACATCTAAATATATAGTTCACCACAGGTTAACAGATATGTATGTGTCTTTATAACTAGTGACCCATATGTATGCTTCATCATGAAGATTTGCAGAAGACAGATAATTACCAGTGTTAGACCATTGGACATAAGTTAAACTGGAATGCATTTTTTAATTTAGACAAAAAATATATTAAGCTTACTTAAGTTCTAGCCCCAGTTCTAAAAATGAAAGTCCCTCAAGGAAAAGGTGAACTCGAAAGCTAAATATCACTATTACATTACTTACATATGATGAAAAATCTAAACTTCGAATGAAATCTGAACTACAAAAAGAAATACAAAACTTAATGTAGATGATAACATCAGTACGTCAATAGCCAGAGAATTTTCCCAATACAATGATGTATCGAAGATGTATTTGTCAAATAAAGCCGCTTTCAACAATGAGCTTTAAAAATTCTACAATATTTACATTGATTCAAAAACCTGAAAAGATTTCAGGGCTGGATTTATCAATCTCTATAGAAAACTTCTGGATCAACAGATTTTAAAAACCACAGACTACAAAAATACTACTTTTTGGTATACCATGTTGTGGCAAAAATTGCTGCTAATATTTAGCAAAGGCAATATTTTCTTGGAAAGAATTTGAGCTTTTCATTACTGTGCAACAAAATATGACAGTTTAGACCTCTCTGAACATAATGGTTTATTAGAAATATGAATTCATGGTGACTATTATTTGGCAGAGATTTTTCTTTTGTTTAAGAAGTTGATATTCTATAGCCAAATAGCACCAAATATCAAGACATATACTAAAATGTGACAGATAATATATAATGATCAAGAAAAATCAGCATAGCATGCATCAATCTACAGCATAATCCTGATTCTGGTTGATAAATTTTGTCCTTACCCTTTATTCCTTTGGCCTTTTTTTCGTAATATATTAGCATGTTAAATCTATATATCTTTGTTGAGAGATTTTTGAAAGCAAAAGGAAGCTCCATGTCATTTTAAACAAGTGGACACAATAATTTTGATTATCAATATATAATGGCATGCTGTTTAACACTATTCACTGCGCATAAATAATTTCTGATTTCTATAATCTATACCACATAACTGTTCAAATATCGAGTTTTAATGAAAGTTTCCCAATACAGCAAACATCATATGTGTAAACAGTTCATGCTGGTGTGTTTAATCATATTTTGTCAAATGACTTTTGGCATTTGAAAGAAAGAGATTTCCTTTAGAACACTGAGTTGTGAAATTAAAAAAAAAAAAAAAAAAAAAAAAAAAAAAAATAGTATGATTAAGTACAAGGTGTCTGAATTGGAACTATCACGCTACCAGATTAGAACCATCATTTACTTCCAGCTCTGTTACAAAAATAGAGCAACAGAATATCACCAAATCATGAGTACAGCTTTAGGTAATAATGTTGTATCACATGCCACAGTGAAGGTGTAGTACCGAAAGTTCAGAAACAAGGACTATGGCAGTCAAGAAGCAAAGCGCTCTTGTCAGCCTCCTGATGTTTACAAGACCTGCCTGTAAGAACTTGTCAAAGGAAATCAGTATACAACCATTCGAGAACTTGCTAAGGAGTTCAAAGTTAGTGCCATGTCTATTAGTAGCACTATGCATTGCATAAACTTGACGTACAAGTTCAATCACTGGGTGCCGCATGAGCTGACTCAAGCAGATAAGGGCATACGTGATCGGGCCTGCCCTAATATGCTTGAATACCAATGCAAGAACAAACATTCTGGACTGGATCATCACTTGCGATGAAAAGCAAATTTAATTCAGCAACCCAGGCTGAAAAGGGAGTTTGTCTGCACTCGGTGAGCCCATCGGCAGCATCGCAAAGCGTAATTTAACTAAAAAAATATCAGGCTTTGTATCTGGTGTGAGTAGCGTGGCATTATCCACAAAGAGTAGCTGGAAAAAGGTAAAACCCTGGACTGTAAGGTGTACAGCAAGATGCTAGTTCATGTTGACACTGCTTTCAAAGGAAAACTTGGAACTGAGTTCTAGCATAAAAAGGTAATGTTCCATTAAGATAATGCAAGACGTGTCTGCATTCACTGGCTGGACTCGAATGGAAGCTTTTGCCACACCCACTATATAGCCCCGACATCACTCCTTTGGACTTCTACCTTTTTTCACACCTGCAGCTACATCTTGCTGGTGCATTCTATGCAGGATGTCCAAAATGAGGTTGATCTGTTTTAGGACTCATGGCCACCAAGTTTCTGGGCCAAAAGCTTTGAAAAACTATCAAAACATTGGTAGAAATTCATAGATTAGTGATTACTACCTACACTAAAGGTACTGCTTTGTTTTGTTTTTCTAAATTTATTAAAAATGTTTTTTGGCAGAAAACTTTCATTATAACCAAATATTTCTGAGTAACTATTTGTTAAATAAATATCTAATTGGAACCCACTGATAAGGCAAGAACAATTTTAAATGCAAGATAAAAGAATTGTTACAGCAAGTAATCCCCAAATTTTTAACGTGGTCAACTTGATTTCCACTTCTAATTAAAACTAAGAAGAGCAGGTAAAAAAAAAAAAAAAATTATTAACTTTCCTGATTAACATAAGAATTATAGAATACTCTTAACTTTATATGCATTCATTTTTCAGGATGCCATGCTAATGGAACTCACTTTTAAACAACTGAAAATATATTAACTGATCCATCCTCATTTAAATTAGGAATTTATTGCATCCAACAAAACCAAATTTCAGCATTTGCATGAAAATATTAAAGAAACAAATTTGAAGAGGAGGATGTTTTATAAAGATGTATTTATAACACAAACATACTTTCTACAAAATTTGGCAAAATAGGAACAAATGTTATCTTTACTCTACCTTTCAGATGATTTTCTTTTTTGAGATGATTTAGATACACTTTTGCTAACTTTTGATACTACATCCTTACATGGTGCATTAATACTTTTAGCATCACATGCAACAGCTATTTCTTGTTCAACAAGAGGGTTTGCAACTGAAGATTTCTTGTTTAAATTTGATGCATTTTTCTCTTTAAAAAAGCATAAAATATTAACATTAACAAAAAAAACCATAATTAAAAAAAAATATTAGAAACATCAGGTTCAAAAGGCTATATTTACCTGCTTGTTTTGAAAACATACTCATGATATTATTTTTTCCAAAATTCTTTGCTGTTTCCTAAAATTAATATAATTAAAAAAAAAAAAAAAAAAAGACAATTTATTCTTCTGAACCACATGCTTTTAACTAAGCATAATTAAGATTTTAATTAGAATTTATCACTGCAACTGAGGTAGCACTTTAAAACACATTTACTTACCTGGACACTTTTATTTTTGCCCTTTCCTTCTACTCTGGCATTTTCCTTTTTAACATTCGAAGATTTTTCATTTTTTTGCCACATAGCCATCAATGTATTTTTTTCTTTCTTCTTTAAAAAAAAAAAATGAGAAAGAGAGGTACTAAACAACTTTAGAGAAATTAGATTATATTTTTTAACATATTTTAGCACATTTAAAATACACTGATTCCGATATTAAAATAGATTAATTCCGATACTAAAATTTTGCTTCATTAAATAAAAAAAAAAAAAAAAAACATGTACAGGTATAACTCATTAAAGAAATAATAACAATAAAACTAAAGTAAAGGTAAAATTTATTGCAAGAGGAAAACCTTATGTATATTTAAACATTCATGTAACTATTACGGTTCTCCAAGTTAATGACTATGCATGATTCAAGATGTCCCATTTGCTATTCGTCACTTCCCCCCCCCCCATATAGCATACAACATAACAGCATATGGAACTCAAATAGTAAATTGATTCGCCTTGATCTATGAGGTAACTGAGATTACATTAACTACTGGAAATGGCTGCCACTTGCAAACAGATGCTTAAATGATAGTCCATGTTATTACACGCTTTAGCAGCGAATATTTTAACCCAGTGCATAAATTTTATGATTTCTACCAGTCTGCTTCAATTTGCAAAAGAAATTAGGAGGTGACAGATCAGACTGCCATAGTATCCAAAATCAATCAAAGATAAAATATTCATGGAAAAACAATTCAGTTAGAGCCAAATGCTTTTTATATATAATTTTTAATTTTTTTTACCTTTATTTCTTTCTTCTGTTCAAATTTAAATTAAGATATGAACATTTTCATATTTAAGAAACCTTTAATTTTTTTTTTAAAGAGGGCAATAAAATTTATATTATAATCTGATAAAACTTTGAAATCCTAAGATAACAGACATTGAAGATTTTGAATTTATTTAAAAAAATTTGGCCTGAAATAGCTAGCTACACATGCTTTAAAATATTTGATACTGAAGCAGAACACAGGACACTAATACACAAAGCAAAAAATTCAAATGTACAGTGAACTTCTACTATCTGAAATGGACTGGAAAGTGAAACATTTGGTTTTCCTAATATGCCTTTTCCTAATATACTTAGAAAAGATTCTAACCTCATTTCTAATTGCAAAAAGTATTTCTAAAATAAATATTTGGAAAATCCAAAATTTAGCATCTTTATAATTAGAAGATATTTATAAAAAAAATATTGAAAATTATCTAAACAGAAATATCTCATATTTATGCCTCATTTTCTCCCACAGGACACCTATACCCAAGCAATATCTTTAATGGCCATTTCATATACTATAAAAGCTTAGTTTTATTTTAGGCTAATTATTTTAGAATTACACAGCATACTTTGCAGCAATTTTTTTTTTTTTTTTTTTTTTTTTTTTTTTTTTTTTTTGTTCTTGCCAAATGAAATAGTAGACAAAATGTTCTTAAAAAATACATTAACAGACTTCAGGGAAATATTCTTTCTTAGGAAAGTGCAAAAACTTATTCTTCAATCCACAGCTAGTTTACACATGACATTTTGAAAGAAGAATAAATTAAAATAAATTTGATGAAGAATAAAAAGTAGCAAACAATATTTCTCATTTCAAGTTATATTAACATCTTTTAGTTTGTTGCCATGCAATGAATCTGTTTACAGATTTAAGATGATAATTAATCACTGATAATGAGAAATAGAGCTTCTGGATCGTTTTAATACATAGCTAGTAAAATTATACAGAAAAAACTGCAATTCAATATCAAAACTTGTAAAAATATATTACACCTAAAAGAAATTCAAAAGATGTTTACATATTTTTAGAACAATTTAGGAGCTATTTAATTACTATTCAAAATGTAAAAAAGTATTTTTTTAATATTTGATTTGATAGCCTGTTTTCTGGACTATAAGTCTGTATTGTGATTTCCAGGACAGATGGGCTTTTCATAAAAATTTCCAGCCATATAGATTTTAATTATTCTTCCCTATTTTCCAGAGTCTATCAACTGTGGTGGGTTTGCACTTAGAAAGAGCTCTTAAGAGACCAAAGGCACAACAGGGTGAAATCTAAGAGGACTTCACAAGAATACATTAAAAAGGTATAAATGCAATACCTGTATCAGTCTTCATTTCTTCAAGGAATGCAGTGGTAATTTTTGAATTATGACTTCTCTTATTTTTAATTTCCCGCCGTAAGAGAATACTGTGATGATCATAAACCCCTTACTGAAACTTTCCTTGCATTAAAGGAACTAGGTATGTACACTTCTTTCTCTTCATTCTTGATTATTAACAGGCCTTTTTTATTGCTGGCATTTAGGTAAACCCATGCTTCATCAATGGTCACAAAGTATTTTCATTTATATCCTGCTAAACAAATTTCATAAAACGAGTTCTACAACTCTGCACTGAGCCACATGCCTCGGCAAAAACTGGTGATCATTATGTTTTTTTAGCTTTTTTAAGTAGTACATCTTGGTTTATTATTTTACTTATTGTTGCCATAGATGTATTTAAAAACTTAGCAATTGATTGTATCGGCAGAGTTTCTCTTGTTACTAAAGAACATTAGAAACAATATGTACCTTTTTGGGGCATTTCTTTGGAGTCTTCTTTTCATAAAGAAATAATGACTGACAGTTCTGATTAATAGAAATTTCATTACCATGCCCTTCCTAGCATATTCATATTTGAATTATTGAATACGAATATTTCTCTTTGGAATGCACAAACACTTATTCTTCAATCCTCAGTTTTTTGACATGCAACATTTTGAAAAAAGAATAAATTTAAAAGCAGCTAATGATATTTCTCATTTCAAGTAATAAGATGTTGTCAGAAAGTTTTATTCAAAACTACTTTTTTTAAAAAATTCTTTATCGAAATCGCTCTAAAAATGTATAAAACACCCTTTGCAGCTGATGTTATCCCTACAATCATATATTATGTGCAAAGAGACATATTGCAGCATTATGAAAAAATTAAGCATTTCTATACAAGCTATACTATACATTCTATACACTCAAGCAAAACAGAATTCGTTCTATGCAATTTTTACAGTTCTAACCGATGTTGCAATTTTTATATTTAACTAAAGTGACCACATTTTCATTGAGACAAAGCGGGACAAATGGAATGAAATGAGAATTATAATTTAGTTATGAAAGCAGACCAACAATTAAATATATATATATATATTTTATTATACACATTCCTATACTTGTCTATAAATATACAAAAATATATTTATTATTAACTATTGATAACTATAAAAATATTTGTAAAAAACAAATATTTAAATATTATGCTTTTTAATTAATTTAATATTTTATTTAAAAAAATTATTATTTTCTTTCGTGGTTATATTTTTTTAATCAAGTGAATACTTCGCAATAGATTCAAATCATTTATTAAAATATCGTGAAATTTCTCACATGAATTAGTCAAATTATATTTTAGGCTCAATACAAATTTTAGAGTTTTATGTTCAACTGGGTTTTTTTCAATTGTCCGTATTTTATTGACACTAGAAAAAACATGTTCTGTTGCTACATTTGTTCCTGGAAGGGAGAGCATGTGTTCTACAGTTTTCAAAACATTTTCATAAGGAATATTATTCTGTTTAAAATGAAGGAATAACTCCATCCATTTTTTGTCTGTTTCCACATTTGCAAACAAATAACATTTAATTTTTTCATCAGTAATGTATCATTTTACCAACGACATCTCATCAAAAAGATCATTTTCACAAATATTATTTTTTGGAAAATGGTTACTAATACAGTCAAAAGTCGTTAATCCGGACTAGTCGGGACTTTGGCGATTCCGGATTATTGATTTTTCCGGATTATAGATCATCAGTTTAAATCTCGTAAGATGGCATGCAGAAATTCTAAAATTAAAAATATGAAACCGTAATTTATGAAATAAAGAACAATTGAGATCTAAAGGGTATCAAAATTTACGAAAAAAAAAAAAAAAAAAGCTTAATATTTATTTGTTTATTTTATTAAACATTTCTTTCAATGTAAGTTGTTTAAGTTGCTTCGTTTTATGTGATAATACTTTCTCTTTAATTCTATAAACAGACATAATTTCTTGTTCAATTACAAAGTTCCGCTATTCAAGTCCCGTTAATTGCTGTGCCGAGAATACCGACTAACTTGTCAATCGAAATTTTTTCGTTTTCACTAACCTCTCTGTCACATTCTTCATGTCTTTATCCATTTTTTGCAGCAATTCCACTTTTTGTTTGTTGGACATCGAAACATACTTTCGTTTTGTAGATCCTTTGGAAGTTCCAGCATCGGAAATTCTATTTGACATAATTGAAAGTTCAAGTTTACTTTTATAAATTGCTCTTAGAGTCTGCAAAAAATAATAAGCGGGATCCAATTCGAAGATTAAGGATCAACGCAATCATGAACATTAACTGAAATAGATAATTTTAGCTTAGACCGTCCGTTATAGATTAAACACGCAGGCGAAAACGTATTCTGCACTTGCGCACACGCATATGCGCAGTAGTCAAGGTCTTACGCGCACGCGTAAAACGCCTGTGCGCATGTGCCAACGCGGCGCATGCGCAGAAAGTTTTTAGCTTTGAGGTCCGGATTATAGATCATTCCGGGTTATGGGTGTCCGAATTAACGACTTTTGACTGTATATTAAAAAGATTTTTCCACATATTCCCATAAAATTTCCTTTTTTAATGTCACCCGATGAAACTTTTTAATATCCTCGAATTGAACAGTCCATTCTTCAAGATATACCGAGCAGTTATTACAAAAATTTCTGACTTCTTTCAGAAAAACAGACGTTTAATATGGCACCTTGTTCTTCCAACCTAGTGATGTCCTTTCGAATAACTAAAGGAACGTAATCGTTATCAATTCTTTATCGCAATTTTGTTTTTAAATTATTGATTTCATTTGCCACTTCCGTAATTGAAATTTTATCCCCTTCAATAATTTTCACAGCATTGCAAAATAATGTAGCTTGGTTGCGGATAAACTGAAGATAAATTTGTGATGTGTCATTTTCAAAAAACAGCTGCAATATTCTTGGACATTTATCTTGGGATAAAAAATATGATTTTAATGGTTCGTATATTTTAAAAATATTTTCTACAGCTGGTAAAAGAACTAGCCATTGTGATTTGCTGTAACCAGTAATTCTTTTATATTCGATTTCTGCGCTTTCACAAAAATCCTTCAAACTTTCGACACGCACAGTATATATATATATAAAAATACGAATAAATTTTTGCAGTAATATTTTCAACATCCACCGAAAATAAGTCAGATTCTGTTTGAATAGTATTGCGTAGAATATGCACTGCACAACCTACTCGAATAATTTTTTGGTTCAAACGTTCGTTAAGTTTCGTAAAATGTTACTGATGCATCTTCTAGCTTTTCCACCAAAATTTGCTTTAGTGTCAATAATAAAATTATTGCCTAGTAATAGATAATAATTTTATCGTTCAAATTATTCTTTTTAAAATAGTACTTATCTAATCAAAAATTATTTATGAAGTTTCACCCGGCAGCCACCCAGACAGTGTGGTTAAGGAAGCCTGACTGCGATACCGAAGGGCCTGGGTTCGAATCCCGGAAATGGCACGGTTCTAACCGTCTGTCCCTTCATAGGAGGTAATGGTGGCCCACCTATTAGATGCCTCCATAATAAAGAGACCACCACGTCTGGCCTTAGTATAGATTAATGCAAGCTGTAACTGTTCACAATCTACCATTGGGGCAAAAAAAGTTTCACCTGGCAATGAAACAAAATCTAATATTCTAATTCATGTTTCTGGATCAAAAAGTCTAACAATTGTGGGAAATAATGTTAAATCTTTGTGGTTGGAAGCATCATAATATATGGATATAAATGTAAATTTAATCTAATTCTTTCTGCAGTTGTGAAAAACGAATATGGTGAAAAACATTACAAATAATTGCTTCGGTTTTTGTCCTTGCACACGCAAATTTTTTTGTCGTAAAACGATTTCATCACTTGTGACATACAATCAATTGATCTGAAACTTTGATTGTGGTTTTTGGTGTGAAAATCAAGCTGCCCTTCAGCTAATGCTAGCTGTTCCTCCATTAACATATTCCTTGACGAGACGTAATCACAATGATCGAACACCACCGAGTAAATCTAACTCGTTACATTGCCTAATTTAGTTTAATATGCATGCATTTTATGTGTTTTTTCTTTCTTTATATTCACTATAATAATTAATAAATAAAAGATAATATATTTTTACAGTACAGTTAAAATAAGAAATGCAGATGTTTTCTAAAAAGCGGGACATTTTTAAAAATCGGCGGAACAGTCATCCAGAAAGCGAGACTGTTCTGCCAAAATTGGGATGTGTAGTCACTTTATATTTAACAGAACATACCAAAAAAAAAAAAAAAAAAAAGTACTGAAATTATGCACATATTCAAAAATTTTTCTAAATTACTTAAGATACATTATAAGAAATGTATATAGAAATATCCCCGAAAAAATTAAGATTGATTTTAAAAAAAATATAATTACTTCAGGACTTTTCTTCATTTCTTTCACATTTTGTAGCTTTTCATCATTTCTGTTTTCTCCAGTAATTAATGGACTTTTCCCTATTCTTTCCTTTTTATCATCCTTCTGTGTTATAACTGTTAATGAAATACTGTTTCTCATCGTAACTCCAGTCTAAAAGATATATGAGAATTATAATGGTTTTAAGATAAAATAGTACTAAACTACATAAATTAATCATTCTTATTTTGAAGCTACTATAAATGAAGGCAATGGCATTCAAACTTTATGGCAGTTCGACCCATAAAAATGTATACGACTCCACAAAATAATTTTGCAGCCCAATCAGAGCATTGACCCTTAGTTATAAACCATCAATTCAAATATTTTAGGATTTTTATCCACATTGTGCTCTCACTATAAATTTCTGTGACCCATACTTATATTTACCATACGTAAACGGAAAGCATTGCAAAATTTTCTGCATGTGCTCCATGTACTTCTCTCTTTGGAAGTGAAAGGACTGGCTTTGCTACTTTCTTGTATGTGCTCCAATGAAGAAAACTTCAGTTATTTCTTAGCAAAGTAACATTTGAATCATTCTGTTTCATAGTTTCTGAATTAAACATTTTTATAATTCCAGGGAACCTTTTTTCAGTGAACTTGTAGAAGCATAATTGTTACCTCATGATGCAGCAAAAAGACAGTTTAATTAATATCATGCATCAAAAATATTCAAACAAAAGTATTTTGATATTACTGTGATACTGCAACTTATGAAGATTCAAAAAACATTGTAACAAATAATAAAAATATGGAAATCAATTTAACACAACTTTCCTATTTTATTTTTTAAATGCTATAAAAATTACCACTAATCTAAGATATTCTTACTGAAAATTAATTTGGAAATTCTGCATGATTATACTTAAATCTTGATTATTAACGTTAATTACAAAGATAATAAAAAATATTAAATAAATAAATAAAATTATAAAAAATGTAATTAACCCATTGATTATGCTGCTGCCCCCCCCCCAAAAAAAGAGAATGCTACAGAATTTTAAAATAAAAGACACATGGATGTGTTATTTAAAATACAGTTTAATTAAAAAAAATATTTATATCATTATATATAATAAAGTTTATTATGGCCTTCTTCTTGACATTCTGTCAGACAATATGTGAATACTACATAAATTATGATACCATAAAATTCAAACTATATTTATTCATCCCTAACTAATTTAAATATTCTAGTTCACCCATCACAGCATCCTTTGCTATTTGATTTCATTTTTCTTCTTGTTTGTACTTTTACCAATTCCTATTGGGTTATTGCATCAAAAATGTCTTTATATGATAAAATCCAATATCACCAACCTTCTTGTCTGTCCGCACTTCTGTGTTTCTCAGATTTTCAATTTGAACAACAAAAGTAATTTCATTAAGGTCCAATACTGTTAACTCTTCAACAGCAGAATTTTCTTCTTTTACAAAATGAGAGATTAGGTTTCTTTCAGTAATAAACTAGCCTTAAGCTTTTTATCCCCCCCCCAAAAAAAAATCTTTCCACTAAAATGATGAATTTCAAAATGTCACAAGTTTTTAAGTATGCACATTACAGGGATACAATACATGGATAATAGGTACAGTGATAACAGAAATTCAGAGTACTATCCTTATCATAGTTTACTTATAAAATTACATTAAATCAATTTATTAATAAATAAACATATGTATACATGTAACTAACCCTAACTATTCTGCTTGTATTGAAAATATACATGAACCTCATTGTTACATATTTTGAAATGCTTACAAAAATGCTTTTTCATTATACTAATATTTAATATTAATGTAAGTGACATTACCTGCTTTTTTAAGAATTCAGATTCATTATCTTTTTTCATGATATTTATTTTATTCAAAACTGGAGGCTGAATTTCTATACTACGATGCTTAATAGCAGAATATCTAAAAAATATAAGAGAAATGTAATGTGCCTGGAATAATAAAAATATAAAACAAATAACAGTAGACAAAAATATGTGCTTATTGACAATCATACTTTAATAATCAATAATACTATCATAATCAAGTTATATTGCAATAACTAAAAATATTATTTTGTATTATTATTAAAGAGGTTAACTTTTAAGTAGAAGCAAATGGCAGCAATTTCTATGACTATCACGAATTAGCAAACATTTTTGGATAAAAATCTTGAAGGTTTAATGCTTTGAGTTTGTAAAGTACAGCTGGATTAACAAGGGGGGAACAAAACATTTAAATTGTGTAGTTTCGGGTATAAAAACATTTCTTTTCTCAAATTTTGGAAAATTATTTAGAACACGTTTAAATTAAATAAAAATTAGAAATCAAAAGTTAATTATATATTACACAAACTATACTTCAAATTAAAATTTCTCAAACAGGGTTCCATGAAATATTGTTAACGATTCTGCAAGAAACAGGAAAATGACCTGTATGTCATTAAAGGGGAAAATGTTTTTTCCGATTTGGTCATGTACTTGGGTAACTTCAAGTAAGGTATGACAAGAGTCTAGCTGATGATACTTAAAAACCTGCCTTTGGCTGTTCAGCTATGTTCAGTCACACTCATCGGACATCATTAACAGTTGATTCAGAAGTCAAACAACAAAAATCAGCGTTAATTCACAAAATTTTCACAGGACTAGTTTCGATGGTTTTACCGAACCATCATCTTCAGCTGCAAAACCGCAAATGAACAAGATAGGAAATAATGTTTAGATAAGATAAGAAAGCCTGGACAAGAATAAGCAAGTGGCGCCATCTTTTGGCGAAACCAGAACTAAAACATAATTTCTCTAAAAGCCGAAGGCAAATTTGGATTGGAATTAGGATCGTTAACTAGAACAGAAAGATTTTTATGAATGTGAAATGCCTCTAGAAAATCCAGTTCTCCAATGGAAGATGTTTTTTGAATAATTTTGGCAGCAGAAAAATTGAAAGTGTGATTTTCGGACCAACAATGTTGAGCAACAGAAGACTTCTGTGTTTCCTTTTTTCTAACATATGCCTCATGTTCTTTGACGCGAAATTTTAAGGCTCTCTTAGTTTGGCCATTGTAAATTAAACCGCACTGGCAAGGAATCCTATAAATACCCCAGGAATTCATATCCGGAATGGGGTCCTTGAGTATAGAAGTTGGAATTTTATTGATGGGAGAATAAACAACCCGAAAGTTAAATTTCTGCAAAATATGTGCAACTTTATAGCTAATTGATGGAAAGAAGGGAATGACAACAGAATTTTTATAATCTCCTAAAATAAGAGTGTGGCTTTTAGTGTGTTGAGATGAGAATTTTTTAACTGCTTGATTAATAATGTTGGGTGAAAAGCCCCTGTCAATAGCTATTGCTTTTAAATAATTTAGTTCTTCATCAAGGGCTAGTTTGGAGGAGCAAACTTGAAGAGCACGGAAAACATAGGAATAAAATGAAGCTAACTTTTGTTTAGTCGGATGACATGATTTAAAGTGTGGTGGAAGGCAAACCGATGAAGGTTTACGGTAAACTGTAGTACTGAAGTTGGATGTGTTACGTGTGACCAGAATGTCGAGAAACGGAAGAGAATTGCAAGTCTCAAGTTCAAAAGTGAACTGAATAGCAGGATCAATAGAATTCATTGTTGAAAGAACTCTATTTAAATCATCTTTATTACCTTCAAACAGGGTAAAAGTATCGTCTACGTAGCGGAACCATGCCGGGAAGTTTAAAGTAAAGTTTCAAACAATTTTGATTCATAATAATGCATGTAGATATCAGCCAGGATGGGACTGAGGGGGCTTCCCATGGCTAATCCCTCAGTTTGCTTGTAATATTTATTTTGGAAAACAAAAGTGTTTTGTTTCAAACAGAGTTGAGTGAGAGAAATTAGCTCATCAATTTCGATGCAAGAGAAATGAAATTCGCGAAGTCTGGTTTCTAGACATCTTAATGCACCCTCCCACTGGGACATTGGTGAATAATGATTTTACATCAAAAGAAACCATGAGTAAATTACGAGGAGAAATGTTTTTAACCTTTTTTACAAACTCTATTGAATTTTTTATGGTGTAAATGTTATTGTCTAATAGAGTGGAAAATCTAGAAACTAAATATTTAGCTAATGGATACGAGGCAGTACCTAAATTTGATACAATAGGGCGGAAAGGAATACCACTTTTATGAATTTTGGGAAGAGCATATAATCTGGCACAATTCGCAACAGATGGGATAAGCGAATGTTTTAAGTTGCTTGAAATGATTTGCGAAGATTTGATCGCAGTTTTATTTTGGATAAGTCCGAAGGTGAAGGATCTTTAGAGATCGGATTATATGGTCCTTCGTTTAAGAGTTTAGTGACACCATCGATGTAAGTGTTCTTATCCATGACGACTATCTGGCCACCTTTGTCGGCCTTTGAAATGACAAAATAAATATTACAATTTTCCAAAATAAATATTACAAGCAAACTGAGGGATTAGCCATGGGAAGCCCCCTCAGTCCCATCCTGGCTGATATCTACATGCATTATTATGAATCAAAATTGTTTGAAACTTTAAACTTCCCGGCATGGTTCCGCTACGTAGACGATACTTTTACCCTGTTTGAAGGTAATAAAGATGTTTAAATAGAGTTCTTTCAACAATGAATTCTATTGATCCTGCTATTCATTCACTTTTGAACTTGAGACTTGCAATTCTCTTCCGTTTCTCGACATTCTGGTCACACGTAACACATCCAACTTCAGTACTACAGTTTACCGTAAACCTTCATCGGTTTGCCTTCCACCACACTTTAAATCATGTCATCCGACTAAACAAAAGTTAGCTTCATTTTATTCCTATGTTTTCCGTGCTCTTCAAGTTTGGCTCCTCCAAACTAGCCCTTGATGAAGAACTAAATTATTTAAAAGCAATAGCTATTGACAGGGGCTTTTCACCCAACATTATTAATCAAGCAGTTAAAAAATTCTCATCTCAACACACTAAAAGCCACACTCTTATTTTAGGAGATTATAAAAATTCTGTTGTCATTCCCTTCTTTCCATCAATTAGCTATAAAGTTGCACATATTTTGCAGAAATTTAACTTTCGGGTTGTTTACTCTCCCATCAATAAAATTCCAACTTCTATACTCAAGGACCCCATTCCGGATATGAATTCCTGGGGTATTTATACCCCAGGATGACAGGATGACCAGGATGACATCATCATCAACATCAGGAACATTTTGAAGAATATTTAGAAAATATTAGGAAAGTGTTTCAGAAATTGAAGAAAACCAATCTAAAGCTAAGTTCTACCAAATGTAAACTGTTGAGACAGCAAGTGGCTTACCTCAGACATGTCATCTCTGCTGAAAATGTGTGTATGGATCCAGAAAAAGTGTGAGCAGTTAAAAGACTGGATGCCCCGAAAAAGTCCATTAACTGGACAACATATAAGTTTCCTGGGGCAAAGCATCTACCACAGATTTGTAAAAGATTTTTCTTCCGCAGCAAGACCCCTTCAGAAACAGAGAGCAAGCAATAGTTTTTATCGACAAAAGAATGTGAGGATGTCTTTAACAAACTGAAAGAAGCTGTAACATCTGCGAAAATCCTGATGTATCCTCATCTCAACAAACCATTTATTCTTGACATGGATGCCAGCAATGAAAGTGTTGGTGCTGTTTTGTAACAAGAAATAAATGATCAAGACTGTGTCACAGCATACTGCTACAAATGTCTAACTCAAAGAGGAATTACTGTGTCACCAGGAAAGAGTTGCTGGCTATAGTTAAAGCCATAGAACATTTTTATCATTACCTTTATGGCAGAAAATTCCTGCTGCACACAGATCATGCATTGTTGATCTGGCTTTTGTTTTGAGAATTTTGTTTGAGTTTTGAGAATCCCAAAGGTCAAATAACCAGACGGATACAGACTCCAGGAATTTGAAATTACTATGTGTTATCAAAAAGGATTGTCACACGGAAATGCCGACACCCTGTCTATAAGACCCTGCCCAAAAAACTGCTAATTTTGTTCCAAAGTCAAAACGAAATACAAGCTGGTTAATGCAGTCACACATCAGATTATAAGTTCAACATCATCTGACACAGACCCATGGTATGACAAGAAGTCAGGAAAAACCAGTTAGAAGATGGTGACATTAAATCCATAACTGATTTAATGGAGACTTCAAACGGGAAACCTACTTTGCAGGACATTTTGATCTACAGTTCTATGACAAAACAGTATTGGGCCCCCTGGAACACACTCCACATTTGAAACAGTGTCTTCTACTGGAAGTTTGAATCGGATGATGGAAAGGCATTCTGATGGTATACGATACTTCCAAGACCCCGGATATCCTTAAAGAACTACATAGCTGTTAGACAGGAGGCCAGTGTGAAATAATGACTACTTCCATAGAAAAGCTTCTACTGGAGTAATGCAAGGGCTGACGTGAAAAAGTGTAAACTTGCAATGATTGTAAGGGTCGAAAAGGGCAGAAGAAACACAGCGAAGGGAAACTGCAACGTTACAATGTTAGGAGTGCCTTTTGAACACATCACCTTCAATATCCTGGGCTTCTGTCATGATCTGCTAATGGCAACAAATACATTTTTGTTGTCACTGATTACTTTACAAAGTGGCCTGAAGAGTACTTATCCTTAATCAAATAGGCTGTCAGAGTAGCAGTAATGTTACAGCTCTGGATTTGCAAGTTTGGAGTCCCTCAGTTACATTCTGATCAAGGTAGGAATTGTTTTCTGGCTATAATTAAAGAACTCAATAAACTATTTGACAAAGATAAAATCCAAACAACATCTTTACATCCCGGCAAGACTGCAGAGGGAAGCTGCGATGTAGGAGCACTTTATGAATATATCACCTCTGACATCCTGAGACGTCTGCCACAAACAGTTGATGGCAAAAAATACATCATTATTGTCATTAAT